TTCAACAGACGGAAACGCAGAGAGGAAACCTATCGTACTTTCTCGGAGGAAAGAGCGCGTCCGATCCTGATGACTGGTCGCCAAACGTAGATGTTGTCAAAGAGACGATCAAGTTTGCCATGAGTACAGAGAGAATGGATGCACAGATCAACCAGCAGCGAAACCACACACAACCTACATCAACACACTAACCGACGACAACCCCCACGCACCCTCGTGCCACCGACAGCAGGACTGGCTTCGGCCGCCGACGATTGGATGCCGAACACTTTGGGAGACAACCTCAAGATGGCCTGTTACTAACACCACGAGCAACCGCAGCATTGGCATGTAAAACTGAAGATGACACGTACGGAGATGGACAAGACTTGTATGGGCTTCTGGGAGGCAAGGATATGAACGAAAGTGGAGAGTATGTAGATAATCACACGAGCCCTGAATAGCTCAGCCGGGGCGTAATAAACTATGTATGTATGTATGTACCTTCCGCCTTGGCGACTTGGGCTTGGTATTCTGGCGTTCTCGCTGCTTGTCGCTTGATCCGTGCTTCCAGCATTGCTTCTTTTGTGGCGCGATGGCGTTCAACATTATACTGGCTTGGAGACACGTCAGACATATTGAGGTTTGTTTCCTCATCATTTGTAAAAGAGATTCCGCGTCAGACGCGAGTCTTTTCAAGTGCGCGATCAGCACCACTGGTATTCTATGCCGGTATCTTGCAGCCGTAGCCGTTAGCGGCTGCTCTTCGATGTCGCGACGAAAAGCCACCTTCATTTGGCCTGGTCTTGAGTTTAACTCGTTTGAGAAGTAAAGCCCTAAACAAATCTGGATGATGACGCATGCTTGATTGTCCATACTGTACTGTACTATATTGTACAGTGTGACTTTTCGAAGGCGAGTTCTGTCGTCACGATCCAGATGAGCCCATTCAGCGCATCCTCGTCACACTATACTCCACCTCATCCACGATAAGGCACTGATCACACGGCTGTACTGTCAATGAGGAGTTCAATAACGAGGCGGGCAATCATGGCGGTCGAAAATTCATGATGGAAACGGACGAATTTGGGCACTAAAAAA